ATTTTACGGTCCTTTGCTTTTCAGAATACAAAAGCAAATAACAGCACGAGCAAAGTTCACGTTTAGCTTACAAAACATTTACTTAGACTTTAGGAATGAATGTGCACAGTGCTTTAAGTTAGCACATCCATATATTGAAATTCAGTCTTACTGTGGAGAAAAAAAACATGTATAAAGGTTTAAATTCACCCAAATCATATGTTTGAGAACTTTTAAGCTTCTGTGACAGTCAGTAACCCACAGTGTTCTTCTCTCCCTATTCCACATCCTAAATGAGAATCATCACGATTTAATTGGATTGGTTATTCATTTATTCACCACCTGATATATGTAGTCTGATGTATGTTATCTGATGTGATGTCTGTCTGTCTGTATGCTATACAGTGCCTTGCAAAAGTATTCATCCCCCTTGGCGTTTTTCCTATTTTGTTGCATTACAACCTGTAATTTAAATTGATTTTTATTTGGATTTCATGTAATGGACATACACAAAATAGTCCAAATTGGTGAAGTGAAATGAAAAAAATAACCTGTTTCAAAAAATTCTAAAAAATAAATAACGGAAAAGTGGTGCTTGCATATGTATTCACCCCCTTTGCTATGAAGCCCCTAAATAAGATATGGTGCAACCAATTACCTTCAGAAGTCACATAATTAGTTAAATAAAGTCCACCTGTGTGCAATCTGTGTCATATGATCTGTCACATGATCTCAGTATATATACACCTGTTCTGAAAGGCCCCAGAGTCTGCAACACCACAAAGCAAGGGGCACCACCATGCAAATGGCACCATGAAGACCAAGGAGCTCTCCAAACAGGTCAGGGACAAAGTTGTGGAGAAGTACAGATAAGGGTTGGGTTATGAAAAAATATCAGAAACTTTGAACATCCCACGGAGCACCATTAAATCCATTATTAAAAAATGGAACAAATATGGCACCACAACAAACCTGCCAAGAGAGGGCCGCCCACCAAAACTCACGGACCAGGCAAGGAGGGCATTAATCAGAGAGGCAACAAAGAGACCAAAGATAATCCTGAAGGAGCTGCAAAGCTCCACAGCGGAGATTTGAGTATCTGTCCATAGGACCACTATAAGCTGTACCCTCCACAGAGCTGGGCTTTACGGAAGAGTGGCCAGAAAAAAGCCATTGCTTAAAGAAAAAAATAAGCAAACACATTTGGTGTTCAGCATGTGGGAGACTCCCCAAACATATGGAAGAAGGTACTCTGGTCAGATGAGACTAAAATTGAGCTTTTTGGCCATCAAGGAAAACGCTATGTCTGGTGCAAACCCAACACCTCTCATCACCCCGAGAACACCATCCCCACAGTGAAGCATGGTGGTGGCAGCATCATGCTGTGGGGATGTTTTTCATCGGCAGGGACTGGGAAACTGGTCAGAATTGAAGGAATGATGGTTGGCGCTAAATACAGGGAAATTTCTGAAGGAAACCTGTTTCAGTCTTCCAGAGATTTGAGACTGGGACGGAGGTTCACCTTCCAGCAGGACAATGATCCTAAGCATACTGCTAAAGCAACACTTGAGTGGTTTAAGGGGAAACATTTAAATGTCTTGGAATGGCCTAGTCAAAGCCCAGACCTCAATCCAATTAAGAATCTGTGGTATGACTTAAAGATTGCTGTACACCAGCGGAACCCATCCAACTTGAAGGAGCTGGAGCAGTTTTGCCTTGAAGAATGGGCAAAAACCCCAGTGGCTAGATGTGCCAAGCTTATAGAGACATACCCAAAGAGACTTGTAGCTGTAATTGCTGCAAAAGGTGGCTCTACAAAGTATTGACTTTGGGGGGGGGGGGGGGGTTGAATAGTTATGCATGCTCTTGTTTTCTGTGTTTTTTTTTTTGTCTTATTTCTTGTTTGTTTCACAAGAAAAAATATTTTGCAACTTCAAAGTGGTAGGCATGTTGTGTAAATCAAAAGATACAAACCCCCCCAAAATCCATTTTCATTCCAGGTTGCAAGGCAACAAAATAGGAAAAATGCAGAGGGGGGTGAATACTTTCACAAGCCACTGTATGTATGCCTGTAGCTTGTTGAAAAGCACATTTCCTTATGATATATTCAAGTATTCTATTCTATTCTATTCTATTCTGTTATACTGGTATTCTGTTCACCACCTTTCCATTTGGCTTTATTGCCAGTATTGTCAACCATATTGCCTCTAGGTGTCTATCTTAACCATGTTTCCTGCAGATGTTGAGTACAGATTTGGCAGGGTTTTACATCAGCAGCATAGTACATCAGCAGCATAGTTTGGTGTAGGATGTTGTAGTATCTGAAAATATATGATTTTGCTGACATTTGCAAATGGTGTAATAGAGGAACTTTACTCTGCTTTGCTGAAACATCTGGAAAGCATTACTACATAGGCTTCTTGGAATAGAGGACATTTGGAGATATGGGGAGGCCAGGGATTGGTCTATCAAAAACCACCCATCTTATGTTACATAGGATATAAATACCATGTTTTAAACAAAGGACAGAGAGAGGAACAACATATTAGAGATTGGGTCAGTTGTTCTCCGGACTTCTGCAGGAGTCTGTAAATTGATACTGTGATCTTTGATGTAATAAACCATTATAATCAAGGACAGTGTCAGCGGATTTCTTGTCATCACAGCATAATCAGCATCGTTGTCTCGGACACCCCAATGTGTATAAAAGCAGACTGCTTCAAGAGAAGTAGAAGGAAGTCGCATCCACAGGATCCAATATGTAACAATCCTAATGCATTTATTTCCATTTCAAACTCTTCTGCCAGTTCAGGAGAAAGAAAATATAAAAAAGTGTCATCATCCTGTGGATTTATTTAGACTCAGTTTGTTTCATTATAAACATCAAACTTGTCAATTGATTGACAACTGCTATGTATGTGTCAGTAACAGAGTTTATAATTACAATTACAATTTGAAAACATTCCCCCCCATGAAGGCACCAAGCATTATTAGCATTATTTGGCAAATAGTCCTACCATCATAATAATTCACTAAGGTCAGGGAAAGAGAGAAAAGAAAGGTGAAAACACTCACAGAACTTAAAGATATCCTTCACGCAAAAACACATCCTCTAAGTAAACAGAAGGTGCTATCAAATGATCTGATAGTACATTTACATTTTAATCAATTAGCCGACACTCTTATCCAGAGCGACTAGGGTTAAGTGCCTTGCTCAAGGGCACATCAACAGATTTCTCACCTAGTCAGTCTGGGGACTCGACCAGCGACCTTTCGGTTACTGGCCTAACACGCTTAACTGCTAGGCTACCTGTCTCCCTAGTACAACCCCAGTGGTATGTATATACACTGCTCAAAAAAATTAAGGGAACACTTAAACAACACAATGTAACTCCAAGTCAATCACACTTCTGTGAAATCAAACTGTCCACTTAGGAAGCAACACTGATTGACACAATTTCACATGCTCTTGTGCAAATGGAATAGACAACAGGTGGAAATTATAGGCAATTAGCAAGACACCCCCAATAAAGAAGTGGTTCTGCAGGTGGTGACCACAGACCACTTCTCAGTTCCTATGCTTCCTGGCTGATGTTTTGGTCACTTTTGAATGCTGGCGGTGCTTTCACTCTAGTGGTAGCATGAGACGGAGTCTACAACCCACACAAGTGGCTCAGGTAGTGCAGCTCATCCAGGATGGCACATCAATGCGAGCTGTGGCAAGAAGGTTTGCTGTGTCTGTCAGCGTAGTGTCCAGAGCATGGAGGCGCTACCAGGAGACAGGCCAGTACATCAGGAGACGTGGAGGAGGCCGTAGGAGGGCAACAACCCAGCAGCAGAACCGCTACCTCCGCCTTTGTGCAAGGAGGAGCAGGAGGAGCACTGCCAGAGCCCTGCAAAATGACCTCCAGCAGGCCACAAATGTGCATGTGTCTGCTCAAACGGTCAGAAACAGACTCCATGAGGGTGGTATGAGGGCCCGACGTCCACAGGTGGGGGTTGTGCTTACAGCCCAACACCGTGCAGGACGTTTGGCATTTGCCAGAGAACACCAAGATTGGCAAATTCGCCACTGGCGCCCTGTGCTCTTCACAGATGAAAGCAGGTTCACACTGAGCACATGTGACAGACGTGACAGAGTCTGGAGATGCCGTGGAGAACGTTCTGCTGCCTGCAACATCCTCCAGCATGACCGGTTTGGCGGTGGGTCAGTCATGGTGTGGGGTGGCATTTCTTTGGGGGGCCGCACAGCCCTCCATGTGCTTGCCAGAGGTAGCCTGACTGCCATTAGGTACCGAGATGAGATCCTCAGACCCCTTGTGAGACCATATGCTGGTGCGGTTGGCCCTGGGTTCCTCCTAATGCAAGACAATGCTAGACCTCATGTGGCTGGAGTGTGTCAGCAGTTCCTGCAAGAGGAAGGCATTGATGCTATGGACTGGCCCGCCCGTTCCCCAGACCTGAATCCAACTGAGCACATCTGGGACATCATGTCTCGCTCCATCCACCAACGCCACGTTGCACCACAGACTGTCCAGGAGTTGGCGGATGCTTTAGTCCAGGTCTGGGAGGAGATCCCTCAGGAGACCATCTGCCACCTCATCAGGAGCATGCCCAGGCGTTGTAGGGAGGCCATACAGGCACGTGGAGGCCACACACACTACTGAGCCTCATTTTGACTTGTTTTAAGGACATTACATCAAAGTTGGATCAGCCTGTAGTGTGGTTTTCCACTTTAATTTTGAGTGTGACTCCAAATCCAGACCTCCATGGGTTGATAAATTTGATTTCCATTGATAATATTTGTGTGATTTTGTTGTCAGCACATTCAACTATGTAAAGAAAAAAGTATTTAATAAGATTATTTCATTCATTCAGATCTAGGATGTGTTGTTTAAGTGTTCCCTTTATTTTTTTGAGCAGTGTATATTAACATTCTTAGCTTGGGGGTGTTGTCCATGTCCCCATTGGAGGCTTGAGACAGATGCCTCTCCTCTCTTCCACTGATGCTCACTCACTCCTCACTTCTCCTTCTCGCTCTTGCTCCTCTGATGGTACATGCGTAGGCCCGGGTCTCGTAGGGAGGGCACACGCACAACTGGGACCCCTGAGCTTCCAAGAGAGGGTCTTCTCTCTGGGAGAGAGAAAGGGAGGGGGAGGAGAGAATTAGAGTGACAGAGAGAGAGAGTAGAAAAAGTGAAAGAAAGAGAAACAAAATGCAGGGAGGACAAGGACAAGGAGGTTGACACAGGCACCTGTTCAAACGTAGCTTTACGCACTAGAACACTTCCCTCTCCACTAAGCTCACCTGCTGGTCCAACAGGATGCGTCAGTCTGTTCACCTGGACGTTCCAGTGTTTGAAGCTGGTGCTGGTCTGTCGCAGCTTCCTTTGAGTAGCCTGAGTGAGACCATGGAGAGGGACAGGGTGAGAGATGGAGGGGAAGAGAATGAGAGAGGGCAGTCAGGGAATACATTTTTGTGGTTTATGCTGGATCAAAAGGCCACTGTGCTTCTTTTTGAGATGTTTATTACTATCAGACGAGAAGGAGCATGATATACAGTGGGGGAAAAAAGTATTTAGTCAGCCACCAATTGTGCAAGTTCTCCCACTTAAAAAGATGAGAGAGGCCTGTAATTTTCATCATAGGTACACGTCAACTATGACAGACAAATTGAGGAAAAAAAACCCCCGAAAATCACATTGTAGGATTTTTTATGAATTTATTTGCAAATTATGGTGGAAAATAAGTATTTGGTCACCTACAAACAAGCAAGATTTCTGGCTCTCACAGACCTGTAACTTCTTCTTTAAGAGGCTCCTCTGTCCTCCACTCGTTACCTGTATTAATGGCACCTGTTTGAACTTGTTATCAGTATAAAAGACGCCTATCCACAACCTCAAACAGTCACACTCCAAACTCCACTATGGCCAAGACCAAAGAGCTGTCAAAGGACACCAGAAACAAAAATTGTAGACCTACACCAGGCTGGGAAGACTGAATCTGCAATAGGTAAGCAGCTTGGTTTGAATAAATCAACTGTGGGAGCAATTATTAGGAAATGGAAGACATACAAGACCACTGATAATCTCCCTCGATCTGGGGCTCCACGCAAGATCTCACCCTGTGGGGTCAAAATGATCACAAGAACGGTGAGCAAAAATCCCAGTACCACACGGGGGGACCTAGTGAATGACCTGCAGAGAGCTGGGACCAAAGTAACAAAGACTGCCATCGGTAACACACTACGCCGCCAGGGACTCAAATCCTGCAGTGCAAGACGTGTCCCCCTGCTTAAACCAGTACATGTCCAGGCCCGTCTGAAGTTTGCTAGAGTGCATTTGGATGATCCAGAAGAGGATTGGGAGAATGTCATATGGTCAGATGAAACCAAAATATAACTTTTTGGTAAAAACTCAACTCGTCGTGTTTGGAGGACAAAGAATGCTGAGTTGCATCCAAAGAACACCATACCTACTGTGAAGCATGGGGGTGGAAACATCATGCTTTGGGGCTGTTTTTCTGCAAAGGGACCAGGACGACTGATCCGTGTAAAGGAAAGAATGAATGGGGCCATGTATCGTGAGATTTTGAGTGAAAACCTCCTTCCATCAGCAAGGGCATTGAAGATGAAACGTGGCTGGGTCTTTCAGCATGACAATGATCCCAAACACACCGCCCGGGCAACGAAGGAGTGGCTTCGTAAGAAGCATTTCAAGGTCCTGGAGTGGCCTAGCCAGTCTCCAGGAAAGTCCGTGTTGCCCAGCGACAGCCCCAAAACATCACTGCTCTAGAGGAGATCTGCATGGAGGAATGGGCCAAAATACCAGCAACAGTGTGTGAAAACCTTGTGAAGACTTACAGAAAACGTTTGACCTATGTCATTGCCAACAAAGGGTATATAACAAAGTATTGAGAAACTTTTGTTATTGACCAAATACTTATTTTCCACCATAATTTGCAAATAAATCCTACAATGTGATTTTCTGGAATTTTTTTTCTCATTTTGTCTGTCATAGTTGACGTGTACCTATGATGAAAATTACAGGCCTCTCTCATCTTTTTAATTGGGAGAACTTGCACAATTGGTGGCTGACTAAATACTTTTTTCCCCCACTGTACAACACAGGGTGCACACTGACACACATACAGCAAATACAAAATAGTCATCATGGGACCCGAGTGGGGGAAAGTACTGCATAACGTCTATCTACACTGACCTTTAAGACCCTGAAAGTTATCTTGCCGTCCTGTGGCTTGCTTCAGTACGTTCAACACCCACACATATGCACATTCACACAGACACATGTGTGCAGCAGAGGTGGTTAAGCGGACTATGCTTGCTTGATGAGTAGCTGTCGAGTTGCTGTAGTTGTCTGGACAGTAGTTCCCAGATATACTGTACATTTAGCAGACAATCTGGGTTCGATACTCATTTTGTTAAACTCACCGCAATGTCCTGGTCCATTCTGTGCCGGCTGGCCTGAACCTTCTCCAGCTGGTGTTGGGCCTCCTTCAAAGCCTGGGACTTGGTTACCATCTCCTGCCTGAGCTCCTGCTTCTCTCTCTGGGTCTTCAGGATGTACTGCTCCTGTTCCTCCTGGAGGGCCAGCAGGGCCTTCATCTTCTCCTCCTCCTCTATCAGCAGCCTGGGGATGAAGAGAGAGAGAAGGAGAGCTACCATCATGCAGGGTTCTAGTCACAATAGTACACTGACCCTTCTTGGAGCTCTAAAAAAATGGGCTGGACCTATGTTAATAATGTTACAGTTACAGAATAGGAATGCCCAAACGTATTGTGTATTCTAAAGCTTATTTTGTGACCGTTGTGACAATGTCATAATGAAAGGATCAATCAGAGAGCAGAGTTATGGAAAGTAAACATGAAAATAATTACACCCTAAGATGTTCAGTTCCTGAGAAAGTAGACAAACCACAAGTACCGCACAGAGATGACAGGAAATCGTTGGCGTCTCTCTGAGAGTACACGTCTACTGACAAAAAACGTTGTGTGTGTGCGCTTGACTGAGGGTGCCATGCATTTGAGCTATACAGAGGTACAGCCAAATCACTTCAGGTTAATATTAGTGTTCATTTTGGTTAGGTTAGCTTTTGACTTGGGTTATATTTAAAAACACACCATAAATGTTTAGCAGATTTCGCTAAATGAAGCATATAGCAGGTCAAAGCCATAATCTTTAAAGTTAAACTTTTTCCCCTTTCTTTTTTTTGAAAGTGTGACTTTGTGGTGTCAGAAATGTAGTGATGTCAGACATTTAGAGCATACATGTAAGTGTCAGGGGATGTAATATAGTCACACCTCAATCCTTTCCCTGATGTTTGTGGCCTGAGCGTGTGCATGTGTACTGTATATATCTGTGTGTGTTTTTTATTTATTTATTTCTGAAATTTTTTGGGGGGGAGATCAGCTTTAATATTGCAGATAGGTTTTGGGTTCCATCAAATTAATTGTTTGCATCATTTCTAATCCCCCTTACTTATTTATTTTATTTTGTATTTTTCCCCCCAGTCCTACCACCCCTCCCCTGATTGGAGTAAACTAACGGACAACAATACTTCTACTGGCTACTACATGTACCCACATGTAAGGTACATTAAATAAATAGTTAAATAAATAAACATATATTCCTAGTTTCCTCTCTGCAAGAGCAGGATTTTCAACCACAGCGGCCAATCCACCATTCATTCTGATCTTAACTCCAAACTTCCGATGTCCACAGATTAACCCACATTTCCCAGTATAATACCATTTAGCTATTTTCTTTGCAATACATCCCTCCATTTTACTTTGATGTCTTACGAGGGTCTTGAACCTCACTTTTTGTAATATTTCAACCGATATTGCCCTAAAAATAAATACTTTACCCATGAGTATAATGATATTTCCCATTGACTGCTCATGGTTTTTCAGATCATCTAATAAAACAGTTTGCAGGTCCATCTGACCCCTGAATTTATGACATGACAACCATTCCTAGACCTGACTCGAAAAGCCAACCACTGATGGACAGTAGCAGAAAATATGCTCTATTGATCCTGTTTCCTCGTGACAGAGTGCACAGGTCTGACTGTTCACACTTTGTATTCAAGACATAAAGTTCCTTAATTTTTTGTAGTTTTACTTTAGTGTCTTATTGCAAACAGGATGTATGTTTTCTGTACAGGCTTCCTTCTTTTCACTCTGGCATTTAGGTTAGTATTGTGGAGTAACTACAACGTTGTTGATCTATCCTCAATTTTCTCCTATCACAGCCATTAAGCCATTCAACTCTGTAACTTTTTAAAGTCACCATTGGCCTCATAGTGAAATCCCTGAGCGGTTTCCTTCCTCTCCGGCAACTGAGTTAGGAAGGACGCCTGTATCTTTGTAGTGACTGGGATTATTGATACACCATCCAAAGTTTAATTAATAACTTCACCATGTTCAAAGGGATATTCAATGTTTGCTTTTTTAAAAATGTCTTACCCATCTACCAATAGGTGCCTCTTTGTGAGGTATTATTGACTGGGATTATTGATACACCATCCAAAGTGTAATTAATAACTTTACTATTCTCAAAGGAATATTCAATGTCTGCTTTTTGAAAATGTCTTACCCATCTACCAATAGGTGCCCTTCTTTGTGAGGCATTGGAAAACCTCCCTGGTCTTTGTGGTTGAATCTGTTTGAAATTCACTGCTCGACTAAGGGACCTTACAGATAATTATATGTGTGGGGTAGTCATTCAAAAATCATGTTAAACACTATTATTGCACACAGAGTGTGTCCCTGCAAATTATTATGTGACTTGTTAAGCACATTTTTACTCCTACATTTATTTAGACTTGCCATAACAAAGGTGTTGAATACTTATTAACTCAAGGCATTTCAGCTTTTAATTTTTAATTCATTTGTAAAAATGTATAAAAACATAAATCCACTTTGACATTATGGGGCAGTTTGTGTAAGACTGTCACAAATTGTAATCAACTTTACATTCAGTCTGTAACACAACAAAATGTGGAAAAAGTCAATGGGTGTGAATACTTTCTGAAGGCACTGTATATATACAGTGGGGGAAAAAAGTATTTAGTCAGCCACCAATTGTGCAAGTTCTCCCACTTAAAAAGATGAGAGAGGCCTGTAATTTTCATCATAGGTACACGTCAACTATGACAGACAAATTGAGATTTTTTTTCTCCAGAAAATCACATTGTATGATTTTTAATGAATTTCTTTGCAAATTATGGTGGAAAATAAGTATTTGGTCACCTACAAACAAGCAAGATTTCTGGCTCTCACAGACCTGTAACTTCTTCTTTAAGAGGCTCCTCTGTCCTCCACTCGTTACCTGTATTAATGGCACCTGTTTGAACTTGTTATCAGTATAAAAGACACCTGTCCACAACCTCAAACAGTCACACTCCAAACTCCACTATGGCCAAGACCAAAGAGCTGTCAAAGGACACCAGAAACAAAATTGTAGCCCTGCACCAGGCTGGGAAGACTGAATCTGCAATAGGTAAGCAGCTTGGTTTGAAGAAATCAACTGTGGGAGCAATTATTAGGAAATGGAAGACATACAAGACCACTGATAATCTCCCTCGAGCTGGGGCTCCACGCAAGATCTCACCCCGTGGGGTCAAAATGATCACAAGAACGGTGAGCAAAAATCCCAGAACCACACGGGGGGACCTAGTGAATGACCTGCAGAGAGCTGGGACCAAAGTAACAAAGCCTACCATCGGTAACACACTACGCCGCCAGGGACTCAAATCCTGCAGTGCCAGACGTGTCCCCCTGCTTAAGCCAGTACATGTCCAGGCCCGTCTGAAGTTTGCTAGAGTGCATTTGGATGATCCAGAAGAGGATTAGGAGAATGTCATATGGTCAGATGAAACCAAAATATAACTTTTTGGTAAAAACTCAACTCGTCGTGTTTGGAGGACAAAGAATGCTGAGTTGCATCCAAAGAACACCATACCTACTGTGAAGCATGGGGGTGGAAACATCATGCTTTGGTGCTGTTTTTCTGCAAAGGGACCAGGACGACTGATCCGTGTAAAGGAATGAATGAATGGGTCCATGTATCGTGAGATATTGAGTGAAAACCTCCTTCCATCAGCAAGGGCATTGAAGATGAAACGTGGCTGGGTCTTTCAGCATGACAATGATCCCAAACACACCGCCCGGGCAACGAAGGAGTGGCTTCGTAAGAAGCATTTCAAGGTCCTGGAGTGGCCTAGCCAGTCTCCAGATCTCAACCCCATAGAAAATCTTTGGAGGGAGTTGAAAGTCCGTGTTGCCCAGCGACAGCCCCAAAACATCACTGCTCTAGAGGAGATCTGCATGGAGGAATGGGCCAAAATACCAGCAACAGTGTGTGAAAACCTTGTGAAGACTTACAGAAAACGTTTGACCTGTGTCATTGCCAACTAAGGGTATATAACAAAGTATTGAGAAACTTTTGTTATTGACCAAATACTTATTTTCCACCATAATTTACAAATAAATTCATTAAAAATCCTACAATGTGATTTTCTGGATATCTTTTTCTCATTTTGTCTGTCATAGTTGACGTGTACCTATGATGAAAATTACAGGCCTCTCTCATCTTTTTAAGTGGGAGAACTTGCACAATTGGTGGCTGACTAAATACTTTTTTTCCCCCACTGTATGTGTGTTACCTGACCAGAGTGTGTGTGTGTGTGTATGCTATATATATCTGTATGTGTGTGTTACCTGGCCTGTGCGAGGCGGTAGATCTCCTCGTCTTGTCTCACTCTGATCTTCTGGTGCAGGGCATCCTCCAGGCGGAGCTGCGTCTCCTCCAGCTCCCATATCCTCCTCCTCTGACGCTCCGTCTCCACCTCCTTGAGGGCCATTTCTGCCTGAATGCTGGCTCGCGCCTGGCCCACGACAAACACACACTTAAACCAGGACGAAGCCACAGTTGAACCTGTAAAGATCTATAGAGTAGGGTCCTTCTCCTCATTGTCTCACCGCTCACACCTTCCCCCTCCTCTACATTCCTTGAGTTCCTTCTTGTTATCCTTCCCCCGTCCTCCTCTCCACCTCTCCTCTAGTGGGTGCAGTGCTGTTAGACTTTAGTGCTGCTTTGATGTAATTGATCATTAACTTTTGCTAGGTAAAGTTAAGTTATGGTTTTATGTCTTTATACTGGATGGAAGGCTACCTTTCCAGGGGAAAGCAAAACTTTTTCTTTGATGATAGCTTTTCGGACTGTAAAGATTTACATTGTGGTGTTCCTCAAGGCAGTTGCCTAGGACCACTCCTCTACTCTATCTTGACTAATGATTTACCACCAGTAATTAATAAAGCAAGAGTGGTTATGTATGCTGATGACTCTACAATGTATAGCGCTGCATCAGCATATAATGAACTCACAGATGTATTGAGCAAAGAACTAAGAATGGTGTCTTAGGGGGTTAACATTAACAAATTGGTTTTGAATATTTCTAAATCAAAACGTATTGTATTTGGTATAAGATATATGCTTGCTGGTGATCCTCAATTAAACTTGTCAATGGATGGGTTGTCTGTGGAACAAGTTAAAATAACTACTACTACTTGGTGTCATGTTGGACACAGCTCTATCCTGGTCTGAACATATGCATAACATTGTAATTAAAATGGGTAAAGGCAATACTATAACAATAAAATGTTCTGAGTATGTAACATACGCTTTGGTTCTGTCAGACCTATAGTACTGTCCAGTCATATGGTCATCTGCAGCAAAAATATATCTTAAAAAGCTCCAACTCGCTCAAAACAAGGCTGCCAGATTAGCTCTTCATTGGCCTACCCTTATGAATGTCAACCAATTGCACCATAATCTCTCATGGCTTCCCGTTGAACACAAATTATTATCCAGTCTTTTGATTTTCTTTAGGAACTTAATGTTTTTTAAGGAACCAACGTTTTTCTTCTGACCAATTAGTGTACAGTACCAGTCAAATGTTTGGACACACCTACTCATTCAAGGGTTTTTCTTTATTTTTACTATTTTCTACATTGTAGAATAATAGTGAAGACATCAAGTAACCAAAAAAGTGTTAAACACCAAATATATTTAAATTTTAGATTCTTCAAAGTAGCCACCCTTTGCCTTGATGACAGCTTTGCACACTCTTGGCATTCTCTCAACCAGCTTCATGAGGTAGTCACCTGGAATGCTTTTCCAACAGTCTTGAAGGAGCCCACATATGGTGAGCACTTGTTGGCTGCTTTTCCTTCACTCTGCGGTCCAACTCATCCCAAACCATCTCAATTGAATTGAGGTCGGGTGATTGTGGAGGCCAGGTCATCTGATGCAGCACTCCATCACTCTCCTTCTTGGTCAAATATACCTTACACAGCCTGGAGGTGTGTTGGGTCATTGTCCTGTTGAAAAACAAATGATATTCCCACTAAGCGCAAACCAGATGGGATGGCGTATCGCTGCAGAATGCTGTGGTAGCCATGCTGGTTAAGTGTGCCTTGAATTCTCAATAAATCACTGACAGTGTCACCAGCAAAGCACCCCCACACCATCACACCTCCTCCTCCATGCTTCACGGTGGGAACCACACATGCGGAGATCATCCGTTCACCTACTCTGCTTCTCACAAAGACATGGCGGTTGGAACCAAAAATATCAAATTTGGACTCATCAGACCAAAGGACAGATTTCCACCGGTCTAATGTCCATTGCTCATGTTTTTTGGTCCAAGCAAGTCTCTTCTTATTATTGGTGTCCTTTAGTAGTGGTTTCTTTGCAGCAATTCGACCATGAAGGCCTGATTTACGCAGTCTCCTCTGAACAGTTGATGTTGAGATGTGTCTGTTACTTGAACTCTGTGAAGCATTTATTTGGGAATCTGAGGTGCAGTTAACTCTAATGAATTGATCCTCTGCAGCAGATGTAACTCTGGGTTTTCCTTTCCTGAGGCGATCCTCATGAGAGCCAGTTTCATCATAGCGCTTGATGGTTTTTTCGACTGCACTTGAAGAAACTTTCAAAGTTCTTGAAATGTTCTGTATTGACTGACCTTCATGTCTTAAAGTAATGATGGACTGTCGTTTCTCTTTGCTTATTTGAGCTGTTCTTGCCATAATATGGACTTGGTCTTTTACCAAATAGGGCTATCTTCTGTATACCACCCCTACCTTGTCACAACACAGCTGATTGGCTCAAATGCATTGAAAAGGAAAGAAATTCCACAAATTAACTTTTAACAAGGCACACCTGTTAATTGAAGTGCATTCCATGTGACTACCTCATGAAGCTGGTTGAGAGAATGCCAAGAGTGTGCAAAGCTGTCATCAAGGCAAAGGGTGGCTACTTTGAAGAATCTAAAATCTAAAATATATTTTGATTAGTTTAACACTTTTTTGGTTGCTACATTATTCCACATGTGTTATTTCATAGTTTTGATGTCTTCACTATTATTCTACAATGTAGAAAATAGTAAAAATAAAGAAAAACCCTTGAATGAGTAGGTGTGTCCAAACTTTTGACTGGTACCGTATACTAGGAACAAACATAACCACCAACCCAGGCAGGCTAGTTCAGGACATCTGATAACCCCCAGACCAAGGACATATTTCCTCAAATCTACAGTAATAATATACGGAGCCATCACTGAATGGAATTATTTTCCAAATCACATTTCTCAGACAAAAACTAAATTCACCTTCAAGAAAACACAAAAATAACAATGTTTGGTAACAGAATGACGGCACCAACAGCACAAACCGTCATTCTGTTACGAAATTATGCATCTAAACTGTTCTTCAAGTAAATCTATTTTTGTAACATTTTCTGTGGAAATGTATTTAAATTAATCCTTGTGCATAGCGTTGTGTGGTTTGTTTAACTTAGCAATCATTTGTTTTTGTTTGGCATACATTTTAATGTGAAAAATCGGAGTCTCAGCATCACTCTGTTACCATGGAATTGTCCTTCTGTGTTGGACCCCAGGAAGATTAGCTGACATTATAGCATCATCTAATGGGGATCCTAGTAAAAATTCAAATTCTCCTTCCTCCTCTTACATCCACCTCCTTTCCTTACCCTGCTCAGCGCACCTCGTCTTCCCCTCCCCGCTAACCTCCTCTTCCTCTCTACCCCTCTAACCTCCTCAGCCTGCTGTAGCTGCTCCTGCAGGGTTCTCTGCAGCTCCACATGTTGCTGTCTCCTCTTCTGATCCTCCTGCAGCAGAGCTGACTGGGCCTGCCTTTGTGCATCCTGCACACAGATTATGCAAATATATAACAACAGTTATTGTGATGCTATTATCACATTGCAGTTCAAAGTTCAGTTTTCTTCTTGGTCGTCTCCTCTCTCTCTCCTCTCTCTCGATAGGTCTTCCGTCTCTCGAGAGCGAGCGAAGGAGAGAGAGCTCCCCTCCTCTCTGCTTTCTCGAGAGCTCTCTCCTCTCTGCTCCGTCTCTCGCCTCTTCTCTCTCTCTCTCTACTCTCTCATCTCTCTCTCTCTCCCTCTCCTCTCTGCCTCTTCTCTCGCTCTCTTCTCTCTCTCTCTCTCTCTCTCAGCCACACACACACAACACACACACCTGTAGTAGCTCCAGCTCGGCCAGCTTGCTCTCCCTCTCCCCCTGGAGGAGGTGCAGACTTTGCAGCTCCTCCTCCTTGGCGGTGCGCCTCATCACCCTCTCCTCCCTTTGCTCCCTGCGTCGCAGCTTCAGGTCCTTATGCAGGGACTTCTTCCCCTCCACACACAGACGGATGGCTGTCTGGATCGCTGCAGTGACAACATACAGTAGCCTATACATCATACAGTAGCATATACATCATACAGTAGCCTATACATCATACAGTAGCCTATACATCATACAGTAGCCTATACATCATACAGTAGCCTATACATCATACAGTAGCCTATACATCATACAGTAGCCTATACATCATACAGTAGCCTATACATCATACAGTAGCCTATACATCATACAGTAGCCTATACATCATACAGTATGCCTGAAGCGTCGTCGTAAACCAAGCCAGATGAAGGGCAACAGAAAAATCCAGGTCCGGGCACTCATAAAAAGCCTTTAGATATTGAGCATGTTGAGCATTTAAAACACCTACGCGTTGTGGCTTTCGCCTTCATCAGGGTGTGAAATGGCTATTTTCTCCAGGCTTTAAAAGCCCAGTGTGTACTGTACTGTATAACCTCTGACCTGTGGTCCACTCCTGTCTCTGCTTGGTGTCGGGGGCGCTCATCTCGTAGGTCTTGGTGAGTGTCTTCACACAGAACATACACCTCTTCCCCTCCTTCTCTGGCAGCACCTGTCAATGCAACCACAGTGGTGAGAAAGTAACCACCATAACAAACAGCATCATGCACACTCTACATTATTTTTTTTTTTTACAAAGAATGGGGTGCAAATATGTTACCCTATAGACATCTTCTCTGAACAAATCCCTCAGCCCTGCCCACATTGACACCCTATGCATTAGGATTTAGTGTAGGCCTACCCCCCATTGTACCTTCATCCATTCTACATAACCACTAACCCAGTGTTGTGTACCTCCACACAGCAGTTGTGGCCCAGCTCTATACAGCCTTTACACTCCTTGCGGTCCTCACTGACATAGTAATGCAGAGTGCTGGGCTGGAGAGAGAACCAGCGCTCGTTCCAGTTCCTCCGCAAGTGGCCCTTCTTCCACAAATACCCCTAAGGACAGATACATACGTCCACACAAAGTTACACATGCCTAATTATATAAATACCATATTACAGGTTTATTACATATATATTACGTGCATACTAACATAAACATTTCTATAAATTCTCTTTATGTTTAAAAGCACCTCTTTTATGATATTGCCCGCTATCTCCTGGTAGACCTCATCTATCGCCATCTTAACAGCGTCCTTCTCCACACCTCTGGTCAGCCTCCCGGTGTTGACAAAGTCCAGGAAGGCCCACACTGTGATGCCGCTCTGCTGCACAGCCTCCTGGGAGATTAAGTCTTCCATGTCCACACAGCTCAACTCCACACTCATGGCTGAGGAGATCTTCTTCAGGAGATATTCTACCTGCGAGGGGCCATAGGGAATGAATAGAGCACAAAATGGGACAAATCCTAACTTGAGACAGAATTTTCGCCCAAATCTCCCATTATTGCAAGATTTGCATGAAAGGTTGATGAACGGAAGGAAGAAAGGAGGCAAATGATTTGGATTACAGCGGGCTAAGAACTCACCTCCTCTGGGACCAGGACCAGTGGATACTTGTCTTCAGACAGGAAGTTGAAGAGGCACCAAAGATGGAAGGCATCTTTATCAGGCAGAACACCCACGCCATCTTTAGGCTGGTAGTTCTTTTTGGCACAGAGAGTCCAGCAGAACTCATCTACATTCTCCTTATCAAATGTGCCCTCAACCACCTGGGGTCAGAAAGAGAGGATGTCAAGTGTGTTTGTGTGTGTGTGTGTGTATACGTGTGTGTGTATACGTGTGTGTGTGTGTGTGAGTGTGTGTGTGTGTGTGTGTGTGTGTGTGTGTGTGTGTATACAGTACCTTGTCCAGTATGAATTTGTTGAGGTAGGGCATGTACCCCTGGTTGGACACCGGCCCATCATCATTGTCTCTAAAGTGGTCCTCTAGAGCCACAGGGTCGTGTGGGATGTTCAGCACAGTGTATAGGTTATGAGACAACACCTACAACTCATCAACACAGTGTATAGGTTATGAGACAACACCTACAACTCATCAACACAGTGTATAGGTTATGAGACAACACCTACAACTCATCAACACAGTGTATAGGTTATGAGACAACACCTACAACTCATCAACACAGTATATAGGTTATGAGACAACACCTACAACTCATCAACACAGTGTATAGGTTATGAGACAACACCTACAACTCATCAACACAGTGTATAGGTTATGAGACAACACCTACAACTCATCAACACAGTGTATAGGTTATGAGACAACACCTACAACTCATCAACACAGTGTATAGGTTATGAGACAACACCTACAACTCATCAACACAGTGTATAGGTTATGAGACAACACCTACAACTCATCAACACATTGTATAGGTTATGAGACAACACCTACAACTCATCAACACAGTGTATAGGTTATGAGACAACACCTACAACTCATCAACACAGTGTATAGGTTATGAGACAACACCTACAACTCATCAACACAGTGTATAGGTTATGAGACAACACCTGCAACTCATCAACACAGTGTATAGGTTATGAGACAACACCTACAACTCATCAACACAGTGAATAGGTTATGAGACAACACCTACAACTCATCAACACAGTGTATAGGTTATGAGACAACACCTACAACTCATCAACACAGTGAATAGGTTATGAGACAACACCTACAACTCATCAACACAGTGTATAGGTTATGAGACAACACCTACAACTCATCAACACAGTGTATAGGTTATGAGACAACACCTGCAACTCATCAACACAGTGTATAGGTTATGAGACAACACCTACAACTCATCAACACAGTGAATAGGTTATGAGACAACACCTACAACTCATCAACACAGTGTATAGGTTATGAGACAACACCTACAACTCATCAACACAGTGTATAGGTTATGAGACAAGACCCACTAAGCATGGACCGCCGATTACATGTTTTGGACGTCTTTTTTTGGTCTTGTCCGGACCGGATGTATTTTTTTGGTGCGTTCCATACCAGTCTTGATTTCAACATCCACGGACTTAGATTTTTGGTCCGGATCGGACTAAATCTGAACCAATCATAGACGTCTATGGACTGGTCTGGATTTCAACGTCCACAGATGTCCGTTCCGGACCGGCCTATATTAGCAATATGGTGTAATTGCAGACTGCAATTCGTGGCGTTTCTTGATGTGAGCGTTCCTTGATATCAGGAACTGCCCATTGGTGCCTGCCATTGGTCAGTCAATTGATACATGCCATTGGTCAGTTCCGGTGGTATGAGAGTGATGGTTTCTCGACACAGATGATTTGTTTACATAGCAGGTTAGGATAATTAACGTGTCAAGTTAGGTGAATGAGGTTAAGGTTAGGAAAAGGTTTAGGGTTAGGGTTAGGTTTAGCTACAATGGCACAATTGTCAACAACTGTTGTCCCCGACGGCCATGGACCAATGGCGAGCATCAATGGGTGTAACTTGACATTAAGAAACGCCAATATCAGAAAACGCCCCTAATTGCGGTCTGCAATTACACCCTTCTCTATATTAGGCCTAAACATAGACGTCTTTAATTGGTTCAGATTTGGTTGGGTCCGGACCGGCCTTGATTTGGCCCAAACATAGAAGTCTGCTCTACTCTACTCTACTGATTAAACGTGATTGTACTGTACTCTACTGTACTCTACTGAATTAGACTGCACTGTACTGTACAGCAAGGTGTGAGAGAATGGTGCTGAAGTGCGAATTCGCAGTGTAGGCTATGATAGACAGCCTCTCCTGGACAATTTGGACTGTTACAATTTTATTCATAGGCTTTTAATTTTTTTATTCGCCAAATGCTGGCAATTACCAGCTAAGGGAAACCCTGGAGCATTTTCCCATCAGAGTTTTGTTTCCATCAAATTGACTTGTTGCAGATAAAAGTCTGTGCTTAAATACATAGTGCACATGAAAATACCTTTTGAGGTTAAATTCCCATGTACCGAATAAAAAATACAAGTTAAATGGGTTTCCATTGCATACTGATGGTTTTGTCACAAAAAATGTTGCGTAGGCATAGTGAATGTGCCCGCTCTAGTATGGCATTGGCAGGTGCGCTCTAGCCAACAGTTTGCAGATACAGTGCAGGTATAGCCTACTACATGATGAGATTATTATGGACAAAAATGTGCGATTATTTGTATCTGTCAAATGGCAGCCGAGCATTGATCATCATGTCACCAGAATAAGACCCTTGATATTTATTGAAAGGAGCATCAACCTCATCACTGTGCACTTTCACCACCCTGTGAAGTTCATCATAGCTTATTTAATCTGTAGCCTAATAAACTGCATGCTTTCCCATGATGTGGTGACCTTTTTTATCAAACATGTAGGCTACTTTACTCGCATAAAAAGGTTGAATGGAAACCTGATTAATATCAAGCCATTTTGAGGATGCTGGAATTATATTTTGGATGAAAGTGGGCATGCCTACAGGAGACTTTTGAAGTAGCCTAATCGGATAAAAAAAAACTGGTTTTGTTTATGCCACATATAAAAGGTTAATACATTAAAAAAGTTAAATGATAAATATTTAGGTTATGTTGAAGCGTTATGTTCTATGTGCGCTAGGAATAGCCACTCGGATTGGAGAGTAGGCAGAGTTTGTGTTAAGCTTTCCTGAATAACTGGGCCTGCTGGGAGAGTATGTGGCCACATTATTATAGGACGACTTGGGAGAATGATGATCTGCAACAGACAGCACATCTCAGTATCAGAAGTAAAAATACAGCCAGACTGGCCTGCTACTGTGCCTTTCTAGACCTTTCTAGACCTTGTAAACTGTCGAGTGTAGACCCACAACTGATCTCAAAGGACATTTTCACTGCAGCCTAGAGTGGGCTAGAATGTTGTACTCACTTGAAAACAATAATGCAATTATTCATTGCATTGTGGTGTTGTAGGCTAGTCTAGGTAGGATAATTTTATTTTCCCTAAACAAGATCAATAGGGGAAATTGTTTAGCTGTGTGTCTCATGTCTTCACTGTTCTTTCATGTGCAATGATGCACCTGGCCTCTCCGCTGCCTATCAGCTATTCTTATTTGTTCTTGTCGATTCATCAAAAAAATTGATACAGCTTTGAGTGTTTTTATGTGTGGTATGATTGCTAGTTAGCCTATTGCAGATCAGGACAAACAATCCACCTACCATTATAGTCACTATGAATGGTGGATAGAGGGCAGGATAGACAGTTAGACTGGTAGACTATATTGACCTGTGGTATAGTAAAAGTTAGCACACTGAAAAGCATAGTGCATACGGGAAGTACCAAAACACCTTGATAAAGGGGAGGTGCTTGCAAGCAGATGAGGAAATTAGTCTAGGATGGAAGAAATTATACAGCAAAACCTGTGTGATGGAAAATGTTATGTTTGTGCTTTTCTATTAACCAATTTCTGTGTTCTATGATTGTGCTTTTCTAATAACCAATTTCTGTGTTCATGCAAGTGACTGATTGAACGAATCTTCACTATCAGTATCTGCAATTTGGCAGTACGCCCAGACTCTTGTTTTGAGAACGAAAGATATTTCAGTTTCAAGGTCTCAGCTTAGAGAGAAGAAGCCTCGTGAGGTATTGGTCTGTCACATGCATGAAGCAAACGTTAATTATGAATGATGAATAAGCTAAGTCATGCAAATATAACTTGTCTGTAAATAAGAGAACTAACTGCTCCTGATCGACATGTGTACTTAGTGAATTGAGTTGGTTGGAACCTCTCCAGCATGCTGATAATAAAGAATGATTCATTTAAGATTGACTTCGAGTGTCCCTGTGTAGAATATCCATGACACCTGCAAAAGAGCGAATGTAAACCAGGGAAAAAATTCCCTATCTTCCCATGTGGCCAATAAAAAACCACACAACCCTCCCCAAATCAAAAATAAGAAGTTTGACAACCGTCCCCTATTTTGGACCACCCCCAGTAAATTGTGATCTGTCTCTTACTGGGGACCTACAAGTGCAGTAGAACTCATCAACAGTATGTACAGGTTATGAGAGAGAGGGGTGGGGGAGAAAGAGAGAGCGAGAGAAAGAGAGAGAGACAGGGAGAGACAAGGAGAGACAAGGAGACCCACTGAGCACACACTGGTTGAATCAACATTGTTTCCACGTCATTTTAATGAAATTATGTTGAACCAATGTGGAATAGACATTGAATTGACGTCTGTGCCCAGTGGGGATACAAACAGAGACAGGGAGACACAGGGAGATAAGCGCGAGAGAGACAGACAGAAAGACAGAGGAAGAGACCAAAACATCGAAAACATTCTTGTCAGCATTAAAAACGTCAGTTAAAACTTCCAGACTTCCAGGGTTTGAAGCCTCTGCTCTAGACACGAGAGCAAAACTATGGAAGTGGGGAGACACAGGGCCTCTTTGACAACATCGTCATAGCAACAGCTGGGGTTTAGAGTCCAAGCCCCTCAGTGTGACTGGGATTAAACATGTCACAATGCCTGATCTCACACACAACGCAACACAACACAGCATCACTGACCCATAACACACAACAATTCAGCAGCTACAAATCCACCCAAACACCAGAGCAATAACACACCACCAGCCACCCAGATGCATGATGGGGCTCAGAGAGGGTCTGCCTCTGAACATAGAGATAGGCCTATCACCATAGCAGATTACTGATTACTGCCTCTCCATTCCAGAGGTAGTCTGGCCTATACATAATCCCAGGAATTAGCCCAGTTACAGTCTTGTGTATGTTATTCTAGATTTGGGGAGGGATGGCAAAGGTCAAAACTAGGGCTGTGCGATCAAATGATCAAGGTGATCAAATGTCAATACAAGGGGTTTGATCAAGCAATAACATTGTCTAAGAAACCAATCAGTGTTGTGAAGCTCATGCTACAGGAAAGATCACACCCACACACAAACACACCAACCCACTGGGCACAAATGTCTGTTCAACATCTAGTTTTGATTTACATTCGGTTGAGTTGTCAACTAACATGAATTCAATGTGAAATCAACCAAACATTTCACCATGTCATTGGATTTAGGTTAAAAGTTGGGTGGAAAAAAAAGAGACAAAATTACGTAAAAAGGTTGATTCAACTTCATCACATATCATTTTTGGGTTGAAATGAAGTGGAAACAAAGTTGATTGAACCAGTTTTTGCCCAGTGGGAAGTGAGAGAAAGCATTTAGCTAACAGGAAAGAGATTAGACCTTGAAAATAGTGTCTTGTCTAATTGGGTTGGGAACTAGATCAATAAATAAACAATAAAACCATTTTTGATGCCAATGATATAAAAAACATACTTTTCCTCAAACAAGGAAAAACGTCAATAACACACAAACCAACACATTGGAAAGGCTGAGAGACTCACTGAAGAAAATCCCTGCAAACCCCTATTCTGACCCCTTACTTGACCTCTGACCTCTCACCTTTAGCTGGGACTTGGACACCTTCCCGCTCCTCTCCACATCCAGAGAGGTGAAAGCATACCAGATGGACTTCAGCAGGTCAGCTCGCAACTCCATAACTGCCTTGTGTGTGTGTACACGGCACACAGACCTGTGTGTGTCTCAGTAAACCCCAACATCCTGCTCTTTGCTAAATGGCTGCCCTGAAACTCACTGACGCCACCTATCTGTAGCAAATGGGAAAACCGTAAAGGGTCACCAATTGCAACAGTGTTGGGGATATTTGGAATTATAAACCAAGTAGTTTGGGTCCTGGATAGCCTTGTGGTTGTACGATATTATGTCCCGGATGCAAATCTCTCCCCAACCAGGGATGGGTGAGAAGAGGAAGACAATCGAAATTCCTCGTACTACCTGCCACCACTAACGGAGTAGGGAGCCCATCAAATTAATCTGTGGGAAATAAAATAATCTGTTAATAACTGAAAGCAGAGCTCTGAATAACAAAGGCCTCAATCATGCATGATAAAAACGCCAGTATAGCAACCTTACCCCTTTCTAACCAGGAATGGAATGACCAGGCTTCAACAGCCATTGTTATTCATTATTAAATACAATTATTAAATGTGCTTCTCATAATCAAAACATTTTTTTCCTGGTTATTTAATAAGGCAGGTCAGAATATAAGGCACCAAATGACACCAACTCCATTTGGACCAATCGCGATTTTGCAGGGGTGCGCCTACACATGGGGCGTGTTCAGTACGATAGAATGGTGTGCAACGTTTAATTCAACGGAAACTGTACTGTACTAAACGACCAGGGATGCATTCAGTATGACAGAACGGTGTTCAATGTTTAATTCAATGGACACGGTACTGTACCGAACTACCAATTGAAGACTGGCGTGATTATGGTTGCCCAGAGGGTGAGTTTTGCAATTTAAAATGGTCACACCCGTATTGATCAGGCCACACCTCACCACACCCACCAAACAGGAGCAAATATACCTCAAAGGCTGTTGAAGAATGATGTGTACCGTTTTGGGGAAACATGTTGTTCAGTACAAACTGTCAGGAAACATAGTAAACGTTGAACTGAACGCACCCCTGGCTGGCATCTTTTGAAATTCAGAAGGCCCATAGACTTGGCAGAGGCTTTCAGAGGGGAGGGAGTCTTTGATACTAAAGAGAATCTGCCCTGGTTCCTCAACGCACTAGGCCAAATAACCTCTCCCAACCTAACAAAATTGTTCACGCGAGATTCGGTTCTGGGTTGCCGAGATGGATATGTAACTCAGCCTATAAAAGTATGTCAATACAGTTGAGTGCTTTTCCTAGAAATAAGACAAGATGCCTGTGTTGACCTTTCTTTATATGGACTATCTTTTCACCAGAGGAGGGAACAGCCTCTAGTCATTTCCTCTGTCATCTGTGTGACTGGATGTCATTACCTAGTGGTGACTTCTGCTGTTCCACAGTATGGTGGTTCTGTCTCCACAGGGAGCCTTAGGGATTGTTATTGATAGAAGGCGAGGACAGACAGCTTTGAGGGGCTGGTGGTGTGTGTGTGTGTGTGTGTGTGTGTGTGTGTGTGTGTGTGTGTGTGTGTGTGTGTGTGTGTGTGTGTGTGGAGGGATATTGGAGAGAGGAGGAGGTTGCCGTTTGGGAGGCCAGTCTGAGTGCTTCTGCTTGTCCACAGCATGTCAGATTGACAGTACTGTGATCTAACCCCCCTCAAACACACGTGTTTTGTGTGTGTGTGTATAGGTATGACTTTGAAAGAGTAACTCATCACTTCCTCTCTAACACACACCTGGTCCATACCTCCAGCCAGAGTGAGACACCTGCACAGGAACAGCAGTTACAGGCAGGTTGGATCAAACAAGTTTCAACCTCTAAACTGTGGACCTTTCAACTGGTAGTGTGGAAAATACAGTACCAGTCAAAAGTTTGGACACACCTACTCATTCAAGGGTTTTTCTTTATTTTTAAAATTGTTTACATTGTAGAATAATAGTGAAGACATCAAAACTATGAAATAACACATATGGAATCATGTAGTAACCAATAAAGTGTTAAACAAATCAAAATATATTTTATATTTGAGATTCTTCAAATAGCCACCCTTTGCCTTGATGACAGCTTTGCACACTCTTGGCATTCTCTCAACCAGCTTCATGAGGTAGTCACCTGGAATGCATTTCAATTAACAGGTGTGCCTTCTTAAAAGTTAATTTGTGGAATTTATTTCATTCTTAATGTGTTTGAACCAATCAGTTGTGTTGTGACAAGGTAGGTGGGTAATACAGAAGATAGCCCTATTTGGTAAAAGACCAAGTCCATATTATGGCAAGAACAGCTCAAATAAGCAAAGAGAAACGACAGTCCATCATTACTTTAAGACATCAAATCAAATCAAATCAAATTTTATTGGCCACATGCGCCGAATACAACAGGTGCAGACATTACAGTGAAATGCTTACTTACAGCCCTTAACCAACAGTGCATTTCTTTTTAACAAAAAAAGTAAAAATAAACAACAACAAAAAAAGTGTTGAGAAACAAAGAGCAGAAGTAAAATAAAATAACAGTAGGGAGGCTATATATACAGGGGGGTACCGGTGCAGAGTCAATGTGCGGGGGCACCGGCTAGTTGAGGTAGTTGAAGTAATATGTACATGTGGGTAGAGTTAAAGTGACTATCATAAATAATTAACAGAGTAGCAGCAGCGTAAAAGGATGGGGTGGGAGGGCAGTGCAAATAGTCTGGGTAGCCATGATTAGCTGTTCAGGAGTCTTATGGCTTGGGGGTAGAAGCTGTTGAGAAGTCTTTTGGACCTAGACTTGGCACTCCGGTACCGCTTGCCGTGCGGTAGCAGAGAGAACAGTCTATGACTAGGGTGGCTGGAGTCTTTGACAATTTTGAGGGCCTTCCTCTTACACCGCCTAGTATAGAGGTCCTGGATGGCAGGAAGCTTGGCCCCAGTGATGTACTGGGCCGTACGCACTACCCTCTGTAGTGCCTTGCGGTCGGAGGCCAAGCAGTTGCCATACCAGGCGGTGATGCAACCAGTCAGGATGCTCTCGATGGTGCAGCTGTAGAATTTTTTGAGGATCTGAGGACCCATGCCAAATCTTTTCAGTCTCCTGAGGGGGAATAGGCTTTGTCGTGCCCTCTTCACGACTGTCTTGGTGTGTTTGGACCATGATAGTTCGTTGGTGATGTGGACACCAAGGAACTTGAAGCTCTCAACCTGTTCCACTACAGCCCCGTCGATGAGAATGGGGGCGTGCTCAGTCCTCTTTTTTTTCCTGTAGTCCACAATCATCTCCTTTGTCTTGGTCACGTTGAGGGAGAGGTTGTTGTCCTGGCACCACACGGCCAGGTCTCTGACCTCCTCCCTATAGGCTGTCTCATCGTTGTCGGTGATCAGGCCTACCACTGTTGTGTCGTCGGCAAACTTAATGATGGTGTTGGAGTCGTGCCTGGCCATGCAGTCATGGGTGAACAGGGAGTACAGGAGGGGACTGAGCACGCACCCCTGAGGGGCCCTCGTGTTGAGGATCAGTGTGGCAGATGTGTTGTTACCTACCCTTACCACCTGGGGGCGGCCCGTCAGGAAGTCCAGGATCCAGTTGCAGAGGGAGGTGTTTAGTCCCAGGATCCTTAGCTTAGTGATGAGCTTAGAGGGCACTATGGTGTTGAATGCTGAGCTGCAGTCAATGAATAGCATTCTCACGTAGGTGTTCCTCTTGTCCAGGTGGAAAAGGGCAGTGTGGAGTGCAATAGAGATTGCATCATCTGTGGATCTGTTGGGACGGTATGCAAATTGGAGTGGGTCTAGGGTTTCTGGGATAATGCTGTTGATGTGAGCCATGACCAGCCTTTCAAAGCACTTCATGGCTACAGACGTCAGTGCTACGGGTAGGTAGTCATTTAGGCAGGTTATCTTAGAGTCCTTGGGCACGGGGACTATGGTGGTCTGCTTGAAACATGTTGGTATTACATGAAGGTCAGTCAATGTCAAGAACTTTGAAAGTCTCTTCAAGTGCAGTCGCAAAAACCATCAAGCGCTCTGATGAAACTGGCTCTCATGAGGAACGCCACAGGAATGGAAGACCCAGAGTTACCTCTGCTGCAGAGAATTAGTTCATTTCAGTTACCAGCCTCAATAAATTGCAGCCCAAATAAATGTTTCACAGAGTTCAAGTAACAGACACATCTCAACATCAACTACTCAGAGGAGACTGTGGGAATCAGGCCTTCATGGTCAAATTGCTGCAAAGAAACCACTACTAAAGGACACCAATAATAATAAGAAACTTGCTTGGGCCAAGAAAGACGAGCAATGGACATTAGACCGGTGGAAATGTGTCCTTTGGTCTGGAGTCCAAATTGGAGATGTTTGGTTCCAACCACCTTGGCATTGTGAGACGCTGTGTGGGTGAACGGATGATCTCCGCATGTGTATTTCCCACCGTAAAGCATGGAGGTGTTATGGTGTGGGGGTGCTTTGCTGGTGACACTGTCTGTTATTTATTTAGAATTCAAGGCACACTTAACCAGCATGGCTACCACAGCATTCTGCAGCGATACTGCATCCCATCTGGTTTGGGCTTAGTGGGACTATCATTTGTTTTTCAACAGGACAATGACCCAACACACCACCAGGCTGTGTAAGGGCTATTTTAACAAGAAGGAGAGTGATGGAGTGCTGCATCAGATGACCTGGCCTCCACAATCACCCAACCATTATTCTACAATGTAGAAAATAGTAAAAATAAAGAAAATCCCTTGAATGAGTAGGTGTGTCCAAACTTTTGACTGGTACTGTAGAATAGAATAATCTAGAACAGAAACAATAGCCTGTTGGAGGTTTTTATAGACTTTGAGTGTGTGCTTGCGTGTGTTTGTGTGTGTGTGTGTCACTGTGGAGCTGTCAGTGGTACGTCTCCACACTGTTCAACGAAGGTGATGACTTCAAAAGCAGCCCCACGGCCTTGCTGATCTCACCAAAACATCCTCTGATTTCACTGGACTGGGCACTTCTCCAGACAGATAGAAAAAGAGATAGAAGAGAGAGAGAGATGGGGGACGTGTGTGTATGTGGTTGT